GAGATATGTCAAGAATTGCTTCCCACAACTCAGCGTTGCTCCTGAATTGTCATCCGTTGGTGTACAGTCTTCGCTTCATGATGCTCCAAAGGTTTTCGATTGGGTTCAAATCCGGAGAATTTGCTGGCCACTTCATATTTCGAGGTCCATCGAAGCCTAGCTGTTTCAAATATTCAGTAGTCTTGTGAGCACCACGTGAGGGAGCATTATCTTGCATAAAAACAATGGCCCTTCTGAAAGTAACTATTTGCCTTTTCATCCACGGTTCAAGATGCTCCTTCATAAACGCTATGTATGCATCAGCAGTCATTTTGACGCCATCTGGTACTCTCCATGGGCCCACTAATGTTTTTCCAATAATACCATCCCAGATCATTATGCCTCCACCGCCTTGTTGGCGTCTCAAACACTGATAGCGAATCTGTCCGTTCATTACCGAGCCTTTGCACCATCTATCTGGCCCATCAAGTGTTGCTCGAGTTTCGTCTGTGAACAAAACTTTAGAGAAGTCAATCTTCATATTGTCCTCGGCCCATTTCAATCGATTTTGAATGTGATTTCTCGTCAACGGAGGCTTCGATACAGGTTTGACTGTTGTTGATATTTCCCTCAGATACCGACACCGAGTACTTTTAGACACAGTAGGATCCCCAATGCGACTGAAAAGCTCTTGACTGGTAAGTCCGGGGTTCTTCACAGCCTCTCGTTTAAGTCATGACATAAGACGACGTGAAATAACCCCTGGCTTGCCTTTATCTGCTCTTTTTCGTGCTTGTGTAGGGTCGATGGTGAAGTTTTTCACTGTTTGATTACACCTCCCTATCATTTTAGAAATTTCTAGGGTAGATTTACCTTTTGAGAGTTCTGAGGTGATAGTTTTCTTTTCAGCATCACTTAAACTGCTTTTAGGGTCCATCTTTTCACTAAATTCTTACACTTTTCTAATTTGGCACACTCAAATCACAGTGCTGATAACAAATATGGCGCTAGTTTGTTTACATTGCGCAGATCATTACGAAAATTTCAGTGATTGCGCAAGTCAATCTTGCCAACATTGTGTGAAAATTTTGTGAAAATTGATTCGATAGTTTTTGAAATATTAGAAAAAAAGTGATCTCGATAATAATTTGGCACGCAGTGTATATATATATATATATATATATATATAATGGACTCTCCCGTCGGTTTCGACGTATGAGGATCTGCCAGCTTATTGATTCAGTTATGAATCAATAAGCTGGCAAAATATATATATATATATATATATATATATATATATATATAAACGAATGGGTAAATATAGAGAGATATACGAACGAGCGATCGTATACAAATACATATAAATACTCTGCAGCGTAAGAAAAATGTGCTCAATGTTAACTAACAGAGCTATTTAATATATATATTAAGGAATATACAAAATACCTTACATTGATTGTACAACTCTGAGTTTCATGATGAAGAAATTATCAAGTACCGGTGTCGGTGTATTTATTTTAATTTTGGGTTGACACCGGTTTTGCGTGATACTTTATTTAAAATATTTTAGCAAATATAATATTCCACCCCAACATTAAAGTATCCCGCGATAACCAGAAATTTTGTAAAACCGGTGTTAACCCAAAATAAAAATAAAAATACCGGCACTTGATAATTGCTCCGGCATGAGTTGTGCAATCAATGTTAGGCATTTGTATATTTTTAACATATATATATATATATATATATATATATATATATATATATATATATATATATATATGTAATTTTTAACATCCCTTAGTGTGCCTTTTATTACTAGTTGTTGCTAAGCTCGTATTTTACATCAACATGCTTAGTATTTGTACTCTCTTTTTTATGTTCATGTGATATCGTATTTTTGCTGTCGGATTTATTGTGGGGTGGGGTCGTGGTATGCGATTTAATTGAATTATGGTCGGATAAATGGAGTGTTAATCGGCGCGATAATGTAGTGGTAATGTGGCTCGGCCAAAAATATTCACTTAGAACCCGCATAAGCGGCTTCGGGATCTGTCTACCTCCCCGGACGAAACTCTGCCCTTCGGCATAGCTTCGTCCGGGTTCCTTTCTGCCAAAGCAGAGAGTTCTACAGAAGTCGCACACAGACAGAGACTGCGTCTCGGCTCCCACTTCACACTCTGCGCTCCCATCCGACTCTCGCAGTTTGTATTTATGAGAGAAGGAAGAGTTCATTATACTGTAAGAGGGTGTTTAGCACAACATAAAGGTCCAGTTCACTGTTTCAAGCTTCTTCTCCTGTTCATTTCCTTGTTTCTTCACACGGACATCGCCTCGCGCTCTTTGGGACCAGACTGATGCCCATATAGATGAGTACGACTACTTTCCTAATTCCTTTCATTTCTATTAGTTTTTATATACAGTATAACCCGGATGTAAGAGACCCGGATATAAGAGAAACCCGGATATAAGAGAGATTTTCTCTGGTCCCAAATTAGAGCCTGTGTTAATGTATATAAAATAGACCAAACCCGGATATAAGAGAAACCCGGATATAAGAGACTTCTTCTCCGGTCCCGACAACTCTCTTATATCCGGGTTACACTGTACGAAATTTACGGGATGTAGTGAGTATATTTCTTTTGACTTTTTGTTCGTTTGTTTTCCCAACTTGTATTTGTTAACAAAATATCTCGAAACACGCTGTTGCTCCCCCCCCTACTCCTATTCGGAGTTGGTGGCGCGAAAAAGAAATTGAAAAATTATTAATCAAAATTAATTACGTTCTTTGTCATAATGCTGAGATTAGAGCGTTACATATTATTCACTTTCAGTGGCGGATTGGAAGATAAATAGGAAAGATAGGAATCCATTTTAAAAGGTTTTCGTCAGGAAGGCACCAAATTATACAAGAATGGCGTTGGGGAGCATGTTTTTTTAATCTCATTGCTCACGATGTGTAAATATGTCTAAATAGTAGTTCTTTGGGAGATTTTGATTTTTATTATATTGCTTCCTTTTCTAAAATTATGCAACATTACGTCATCAAACCTAAATAACTTTATATTGAATAAAAATGAATCCATCAAATTATGCAATATTTTCTTTGATAACATACACACACTTGCACACACACGCACACACACACACACACACACATATATGTATATATATAGTGTGTGGTGCATAATTATAAGGTCAGCTTAATTTTATCTTTAAACAAGCAATTGGGCTTTTTTTTATATATTTTGTATATTATTATATAGTATTAATAATCCAAAAGTTTCAAATAATTGTTATGAGTAGAAAAACACTTATTGTTAAATTAGTCAATATATATATATATATATATATATAATGCAGTGTAATAGTTATCAAGCTTGTCTCGCTAAATCAATTACGACTGAATAGTGATTTCGATCCTCGCTGCGTGCCTCATACTTTTGGCCTTGTGCTTAGAAAATCACTATATCGTAGTGAAACTAGCCTTACTGATAACAAGGTTTCACCAGTTTCGGTGTCTTCAGGCAGTAAGCCAGAATTTTCACCTACATTCCGTAACACTCACCAGCTTTTAGCAAATAATTAATTTGCCGGTTTGGTTTTGAATTAAATTATATATATATATATATATATATATATATATATATATATATATATATATATATATATATATAGAGAGAGAGAGAGAGAGAGAGAGAGAGAGAGAGATAGATAGATAGATAGATAGATAGATAGATAGATAGATAGATTTGAGTGGAAAAAATCATTAATGGGGCTCATGGCAGTTAATGGGTTAAAAATGATTTCGATATTAAATAACGCAAGAACAGTAGGGATGGAGTAAAATCAGCTAACATTAACCAACCCTTTGCATTCAAACAACGAAGCTGTTTTACCTTTTCATCGTAGAATTAAGAGAAGTGTTTAGATTTTATTGGCTAAACATTTACCAATACCGCTGTAGAAACACCAAATCTCAATAAAGCAAGAGTCACCATTTTTTTCCAATGAAGATTCTGCTTTCTCTTATACTTATTTAGTTGCATCTTATCGCTACTTAAATTAATCCGTCAATCTGCTGCAGTTGATAAACAGAACGGGTCGGAAATTAAGTAAAAGCTTTCGGCGAGACTCGAGCGAACGACTCCGTTGACCTCAGAGACAATTATTTGAACGCATCAGATGATCTTACCAACTGAGCTACAAGAACTCAATTGATCAAATCTGACCTCTAGATCTATCTTTCAATATTTCTCTATCTCTGACGATGCCATAGATGAGTTAGTCATCTTTACAACAGTATTAGTAATAGCAGCAATACTATCTAGTTAGTTATTAGATGAATTTAGTAAACAATTATTATCATTTTTTCTTTGATTTTTAATTCTTTCATTATTATAATTATTATTATTAACATGACAGTTTATAATTGTTATTCAATATTAATTATTTTACTATAGAAAAGCGGTGTTACTTAATTTCCTATAGAACTGTATTGCTTTTTTTTTTCGCAGAGAAACGCATGGCATATAATTTGACAAGAAAAATTAAGGAAAGACTCTTAATTGCGTGATCTACACAGGCAACAACAACCCAAAACTGTTACTTTAAGCAGGTTCTGTCAAAGTACGGGAATCTAGAGCCATGCTTTTCTCAAGATTATTATTGTGAAGTGAATAGAAGAAGCCTTCGCCAACATTCGACCACGGTTCGTCGAATCCATTTTTCCCAATTTTATCTGTTATCAGCATTAATATATATGGTGCGTAAGGGACCATCAGAATGAAACAGGCGGTTGGCGCTTACTGCATTTGTTCAACTGCTGATCACACCAAAAAATGCACTCTCTACTCCCAGAAGACTTAACAAAGATCTGATCAGCATAGTTACAATATAAATCACAGGTTGGTTCTGTAGATACTGAAGAAACATTAAAATGCCTGAGCAGGTATCTGCAGGTTGGCTCACCCGGAAATGAGCAGCTCGCCATTATCATTATAGTTAAAATATTCATGTATTCATTCGTAATTGGTCTGTATATAGACAGATAGATAGATAATGATCAGATAGATAGATAGATAGATAGATAGATAGATAGATAGATAGATAGATAGATAGATAGATAATGAAGAAACTGATTTAGTTACCAACCGACAGAGAGCGACATGAACTGACTGCGGTGTAGTCGATAGATTACTTCTGAAGATAAGTAACCAGGGGAGATAATTTAAGATACTATTTGATGCCAGTGGGAGTTCTAATAACATCGAAAGTCTTCCTCCTAACGGATAGAATCAGTCCAAATTTCTCTAAAACATTCCTCAATCCACATCCACTGTCAATGACAAAAGAGGGCCAAATGCCGACAACTTTAAATATCATGAAAGCAACATAGACGCACGTTAAACAAAAATTCTATTCCAATTTCCGGTGTTGCCTCGACTAGCCGGAAGTTAGTTTTATGTCAACTGACTAACATGGGTAGGCATGGCTTTGATTCAAGAAGATCTAAGATACTAATGGGAATGTCGAGTTGTTAGTCGTGTGTACGCCGTCAAGGATATATGTTGTGATTGAGGAATAAGCCAAGGATTTTGTTACAAATAGTAAGAGGGAAATGGGTAACTGTTCAGTAATGAGAAAAAGTATGGAAAGAAATCCTCTGGTAGAAGAAAGATTAAAGAAGATATGGTCGTGGAAAGCAGATAGATAGATAGATAGATAGATAGATAGATAGATAGATAGATAGATAGATAGATAATGAAAAGGCTTAGATAGATAGATAGATAGATAGATAGATAGATAGATAGATAGATAGATAGCAAAGAGACTCGGATATATAGGCAGATAGTAAACAGACTCGGATAGATAGATAGATAGATAGATAGATAGATAGATAGATAGATAGATAGATAGATAGATAATAAACAGGCTCAGATAGATAGATAGATAGATAGATAGATAGATAGATAGATGGTATTTATCAATCCACCCACGGGGATAGAATGTGGCACAAGGCCTTTTTTAATGTGGGTATCTCTGAGCCGTAGGCCCAGCCAAAATAAATAACCATCAAACCCGAGGCGGGCCAGTTCCGTCAACCTCCCCCAACGAAACCCTACCCTTCGGCAGAGCTTCGTCCGGGTTCCTCTCTACAAGCAGAGAGTTCGACAGACACCCGACCCGGCAGCTCACAAAGCGCAAATACTACACTTTGATCCTAGCCACTGTTTTATAGATAGATAGATAGATAGATAGATAGATAGATAGATAGATAGATAGATAAAGGAACAGACTGAGATAAATAAAAAGCAGACCTAAATAATAGACGGACTACTCTGTTACACGTGTCTCGGCAAACAGACTCTTTCAATTTAACCTAAACAGTTTGTTCGAGTTTATTAATTCTGTACATCGTTTCGGAGACATTTCACACTAGTTATCCAAAACCAATACTATTTCTTTCCTGTTCGTAGATTTAGTATGATCAATTCCATTATTTCATATCCTAGAGTTACTTTTATGACTTTCATTCATAACAGGAAGTAGCGCCAAAACCCTGCGCTGTTATAAAACTCCTACATCATAAAACCAGCAGCAACTGCCCGCTCCTGGGACGCGAGGGAGAGAAGAATTTGATTGGGTAGTATCTGGACCAGCGACCAACTGACTCCTGCCAACCACGTCACCGAATATAAAACTCAGCATGGTAGATTAGACGAATAAAAGCACTAGAAAATTTTAAGCTTTTACGGAAAAGAAATTGCTATGAATACAACCCAAACCCGGTTACAGAGATCGAACCTGTAACAATTTTTATGGGACTTTACAATACACATAAACAAAATAATCAAAGCTAATCGACCAAACATTGTGATTAAAGACCACAAGAATATAATTAGCTTTCTTATTCACATGGCTGTCCTTGCAGATTTTAATGTGTCGTTGAAGATCTTCAAAAATCTATCAAAATACAAGAACCTTGAAATCGAAATCTCAGAAATGTGGCACATGAGGACATCAATAATTCCAGTTGTATTTGGAGCCCTCGGGTTGATTGGAAAAAGCCCCGGTAGACTCAGTGAAGGGATTCCTGGCAGCACATGCCTTAAAGAAATACAAAAAATTGTACTCACGAGTACAACTCACAACTTACGAAGGGCTTTATCCATGTAAAACAGGCGTGATCTAAGATTGCTTATTTTATTTTATTTTACAAAAAACCTCGGTTCAGCGAAAATGTCATGATGCCATTTCTGAGCTTAGGTCTCTGGTTGGGGTCCCGGGAAGAAATGAATACACAACAGAAATCAAAGGAAATAATAATAATAATAATAATAATAATAATAATAATAATAATAATCTGACAAGTACAGCCCACACTTTACGAAGGGCTTTATCTATGTGATTTTTTATTTTTTTTTTTTTGTCAGTGGAAAGTGTCATGACGCCATTTCTAACTTTAGGTCCCTGGGCGGGACCCAGAAAGAAATGTGTAAACGCCAGAAATCAAAGAAAATAAAAATAAAAATAATAATAATAATAATGAGGAGGAGGAGGAGGAGGAGGTGGAGGAGGACGAGGAACAAGTAAGGTACATATTTGTGACTGTAAAATAATAATAATAATAATAATAATAATACCTATAAAAACAGTAGTAGTATTAATGAAGAGAAAAGTAAAAGACAATGAAAAAAACTTTACATAAATATACAATTAATAAACATCAATATGTATGCATATAAAGCTGTCAGAAAATAGTAATGAAAATAAACATATAATAAGTATGTATATAAACATGGCCAAGTTTTGCCCAGTTATTAAGACTTAAAAAAAAAAACGACGCAACTGTTTTAGTTGTTATTTTTAAAAAAAATCATAACCAATAAGTATTCCTGGCTCTTTGTTTAATCCTAAATTGTGGGTATTAAGTTGGAAAATGTAATTGCTTTAGTCTTTTCTGCATTTGTTTGTCTATACCAGCGTTTCTCAACTGGGGTTCCAGAGTACCCTAAGGTTCTGCAAAAGTGTCCCAAGGGTTCCACGAGAACAGGTGAGATAAGCTAATGCACTTTTGATATTTTTTATTTAATTTCATATACATAATATTACTAAACACACACAAAATATTTTTGGTTATTGTAATATTGTAATACACTGTAACCCGGATATAAGAGACCCGGATATAAGAGAAACCCGGATATAAGAGAGATTTTCTCTGGTCCCAAATTAGAGCCTATATAGAGTATATAAAATAGACCAAACCCGGATATAAGAGACCCGGATATAAGAGAAACCCGGATATAAGAGATATTTTCTCTGGTCCCAAATTAGAGCCTATATAGAGTATATAAAATAGACCAAACCCGGATATAAGAGAAACCCGGATATAAAAGACTTCTTCTCCGGTCCCGACAACTCTCTTATATCCGGGTTACACTGTAAAATATTTACCTTGATTTGCCTTACGTCTTTTCAACATTGCCAGTAAAGGATAAAAAATTTTTTTTAAAAACTGATGCAGCAATTATCTGTTTCCGTTCTGTTTACATTTATATTATAGGTATATGATATTGGTTACTTATGTCTATTTTTCACGTTTGAGTTTAGAATTTGTGTGTGCGCGGGTGCGTGTGTGTGTGTGTGTGTGTGTGTGAATAAAAACTCCCTGAAGAAGTATTATACACGAACAGTCTGAATTGTATTTAGCATTACCGAAAAATTTGATAAAGGAGTATTAATTTTTCCTTCAACCAGTTATTCAAAAATATATACCATGATATTTACCACTTTTCTACGATGAAAATAAAATAAGGAAGATATGGTATATAATTTTGTATTTGAGCAGGGGTTCCTTGTAATTTATTTTAAGGGTTACGCAAGGGTAAAAAGGTTGAGAAACGCTGGTCTATACTATGATTCGGTAAGTTGAAATAGTGTGCTAAATAAGAACATACAAATAATATCTTTGTCCTCAGTTTCAAGGGTGATATAAAAAATAAATAACGATAGCTTATAGCCCCAAAACAGACTGCTCAACCAGGACATTCTCAGGCAAACAGGAACAATGGTGAGACTGCATATGCCGTTTTTGTCAAGTTTAAACATACAGATTCCTTTAACATAAAGGATATAACTCGTCTATAGAATTTGTGGACTAATTCTAAACCCCAAATTATTCTTAACTGGACATGTAGCAATTCCATAACTACAACAACTTAGCAACACCAATTCACGCTTTACACTTGTATGTTTTTATCTCCTTCAAGAAAGTGTGAAACGACTAAAAAAATGATAATAACGCTCAAGCTACGAAATGGTGCTGTCTAAAGTATAAACTCCTTTCTTCGGGGAAATCTCTTACTACAAGTCTTAAGTGATTTTTAGAATAAGATATGGTTGGTTTTTTTTTATTTTTATTAGCTGGGCCTCAAAGCACAATATAATCTGTATGTAAAAGGAAGCAAAAAGAAAGAAAAAAAAAACGAAATAACATAAATGGTTGCATATGACATTTAAACCTTTTAGGAACATGCTCGATGTGATGAGCGATATTAGCTTCGTTTTTTTTTAAACGAATCAATTGAACGTATTGTACAATGATTGAAAATTATGGGAAAAGGCGGAAAAATCGATAAAGAAATTCACTATAGATAGTTTTTCATGAGTATGTTTACAGTCTAAGTTCAAATATTATTCGCTGACTCACTCACGCATGCGCGTACCTAGTCATTCCGGAAATGCTATTGTTGTTCCGCGAATGGAGATTCTTTCGAAAACAACTTTAAAACGTTTTATCACGTGTCATAGGCCACGTGACAATATATATATATATATACACATATATATATATATATATATATATATATATATATATATATATATATATATATATATATATATGAAATATTTTTGTTATTATTATCACCGTTTTCTTATTGATGGTGGCAAGGCAAAGGCAGTGTTATTTGTTGACTTTCAAATATCGTTGCAAATTTTGTTTACATTTTCCCGCCATTTTCTTTGTTGTTTTATTGTTGTTGTTGTCGTTGTTGTTGTTTTCCACATTTTTTTCTTATTTTGTCTACTTGTTTCTTTATTTTTTTATCGATATTATTTTCAGAGTTATATGGCCATTAAATTATTCAGAAATATCCCAAGACCCAGATATTCTATGAACAATCTTACCAATATTCTCCTCCCACTGCTCCTCACTATCATCATCATCATTGTTTTTATTATTATTATTATTATTATTATTATTATTATTATTAACGCAATAGCTGCAGTTGTAACTCATCAGCTCCTGCTACCTGCAACATTATCATTCGCATTATCCAAGTTTTCAGATAAATCGAGCCTAGAAACTTACACTCGATATCAAGTGACAACAAGCCTCCAAGGACGCAGTAATTATTTAGAAACGATGTCCGCGTGCCGCGACTGCTTCGGAGCGCTTAGTCGAATCGGTGAGCCGAGTTCAAGTTCCGGCCTAGTCTGCTGCATTAACTTTGCACCCACGCCCTTTCGAACAATACGATCAGCTATGGGGAAAACAGCAAGACGCACTGGGCTCTCTAGCCTTGGATGGCAGCCAGTCTAGGAGAAGGACAAATCTGAATTTAAAAAACAAACGGCAATGGAAAACCGTTTCACTGTCTGCTCCAAGAAGTCATGTCAGTTTGCAAATATTAAAAGGAAGCTGTAAGGATCCATAGGCGCCTATGTCCTGAAGAAACGTGGCATTTGAAAAAATATCTCTCCATAGGACGTCCATTTAAAAAAAAAATATCTCTTCTATTTAAAAAAAAAAATATCTCTTCATAGGACGTCTATTTAAAAAAAAAAAAATATCTCTTCATAGGACGTCTATTTAAAAAAAAAAAAAAACTCTTCATAGGACGTCTATTTAAAAAAAAAAAATATCTCTTCATAGGACGTCTATTTAAAAAAAAATATCTCTTCATAGGACGTCTATTTAAAAAAAATATCTCTTCATAGGACGTCTATTTAAAAAAAAAAATATCTCTTCATAGGACGTCTATTTAAAAAAAAAAACTCTTCATAGGACGTCTATTTAAAAAAAAAAAATATCTCTTCATAGGACGTCTATTTAAAAAAAAATATCTCTTCATAGGACGTCTATTTAAAAAAAAATATCTCTTCATAGGACGTCTATTTAAAAAAAATATCTCTTCATAGGACGTCTATTTAAAAAAAAAAATATCTCTTCATAGGACGTCTATTTAAAAAAAAAAAAAAAACTCTCCATAGGACGTCCATTTAAAAAAAAACAAAATCTCTCCGTGGGACGTCCATTTAAAAAAAATATCTCTTCATAGGACGTCCATTTGATAAAAAATATCTCTCCATCGGACGTCCATTTGAAAAAAAATATCTCTTCATAGGACGTCCATTTTAAAATATAT